GGAGGGTCCTAAGATCTCTTGGTGGCGGCGCGCATCGTTCCGTTTCTCAATATTCGCGTAGTAGCTCTCGAAGTGAACAGTCGGTCATATACGAGTACGAAAATTATACGAATACGAGTCTTATACGAGTACGTTACAAGTCCGGTGGAAACGGTCGATTTAACGGGTTGGTCTAACCGAGGACTCAGGGTGAGTTTAGGCTCATCCCTAGGCGTTGTCCTTACAACATTATTCGATACAATCGGGGACTCAGGGTAACTTCAGGTTAACCCCTAGGCGTTGTCCTCGCAATAATACAGTTAAGGAGAAGTGATTGCAAATGTACAATAAGTGATACAAATAAACTCATTGTGAATAAGCAATTTTGTTCATTGTTTGTGCCTTATATAAAATAAAAACAGTGCGGACATTAAATTGTCCAAGCTGAACGGAACAATATTGTAAAATAATATTATTATTTTACTTACTTTTTTCTTATTCCTCCCTTATTAATCTTAGAGCTGGTGGCTTGTGCGCTTTCCATGTTGATTAACAATGTTGTATTTTACTATGACAACAAATCGATAATAAACAAAATTGTTTTCGCGGACATTATTTATTCTGCTCCCTGACAATATTTGTCACGTCAGATTTGACATTTATTGGAGTAATTGGAGTATATATATTATATTATATATATATAATAATTAATATTTTAGAAAGAGAAAATATAGAAGATAGAAAAGGGAAAAAGAGAGAGAAGGTCAAATAAAGAAGGTAAATAAAATATATGTATATATATATATATATATTTAATAAATTAAGAATTTTAAAATTAATTTTATATTTTAAGAGGATGCTGGAGTGGAAGCCGAACTCCGACGCAAGAGCGCCATCATTTCGATGGTACTAAAAATGAAATGACATTATCGGCGTAGCCTACAGACCTATGCCGCATAAGTCCGTGTGTACGCATTTGTTTGTAGTGGTAACTCACTACACTGACGTGTGGTTTGTGTACGTGTGATCGGATAGTTTGTAAACAGGCGATGCTTGCGCTTGTTTCCTCGACTGAAATTTCGTCGCAAGGCTGCAATATAATGTCCGAGAAACATAGGCGTATACAAGGTGTCAAATAAATACAAACTAAATATGACAAAATAATAAATAAAATATATACATATAATACTATATATATCACTGAAGAAAATGT